AGATCAAACATTTAAACAACATTTCTTTCATCAGACATCAGCGATAAGTTCATCACCAGATCATGCAGACCGTATGTCATTAATCCTTAGATTAGTGAAGAAGCAATTAATATCAATACTATTGATTGTACTCTGAATTCTGGGTAGCTAACGGTAAATTAAAAGACATAGAAAACACGCATAGTTATTTATTTTATTAAATGACTTTCTAAAAAAATTGTGGGTCGAACCTCTTCGCGTACCGTTATCGTCCCAAAAGTTGCGATCGACATTTTGATGCCATAAATGCGTTATAAGAGTGATAATCAAGTCCCACTATTCAGTCAGACAAGAGTAGCCTAAGAGGTGGCGGTGGGTGCTGTTGAACAGCTCCTTTTCCTATAGTTTATGGTACGGATAGCGCAGATAGCCCGTGAGTATCTTTGCGCGAATATCCAAAGAGAAACAAAACTAAGATTGCAAATGTATTTTTTTTAACTTCAATCCTAATAACTTTCACTGCAACGTTTATAGATAAACAAATCTTCGAGTGCCAAGATAATTTTCAGAGATACAATAATGAAAAAGACAAGTGTTTTATCATTTCATTACTTATTTGGAAATTGAAGATAGAAAAGTTTGGGAAGTATGAAGAACAATATTCTTCCTTCATGGTATAACGAAATTCGAAACTCACAAAGGACAATGAAATAGTTATGGTTTTTATGACACATTGTGAAACACTGAAGCACAAATGCTGTACTATTTAAATATATATATATATATATAATGTTTTTTATAACTGTAAAATACTTTCCACATACTAAATTCATTTAACAATATATTGTATAATATGGAGTAGAAGAGTCTGTGAATTATACAACCAATAAAGAATCAGAAAAATAGATTTAAATGTAAAACAATATGTTTCATGTAATAACAAACTGAAATTAAGTGTTTTCCAACATTTAGTTACATGAATTAATCTATTCACCACTTGATTTGTTAAATTAGCTTCGTGTGGCCAGATAACCAAATTTCTTCAACAGCTGATTGGTTAAAATAGCTTCATGTGGCTGGATGACCGAAATTCTTCACCAGTTGGTTGGTTTAAGAAGCTTCGTGTGGCCAGATAACCGAATTTCTTCAACAGTTGATTGGTTAAAATAGCTTCATGTGGCTGGATGACCGAAATTCTTCACCATTTGGTTGGTTTAAGAAGCTTCGTGTGGCCAGATAACCGAATTTCTTCAACAGTTGATTGGTTAAAATAGCTTCATGTGGCTGGATGACCGAAATTCTTCACCAGTTGGTTGGTTTAAGAAGCTTTATGTGGCCAGATTACTGAATTTCTTCACCAGTTGATTGGATGAACTGGGTTCATCAATCAGGCACTATCTTATTCTTATTTATCCCATGCAATTTTCTTTTTTTTTTGTTCTGTTAAACTGCAAGAATTTGCCATACGGTCCTAAAATGCTCATCAATAATTATAGCTATTTCATCACATTTCAAGCTGTGTCTACGATTAGAGCGAATCATTCTTAAAAATTTATTGGCACGAAAGATCTTGAAGTTGATGTTTCAAGTTTAAGGATTAAAATGACGATGTTAGGCCTAAACGATGATGTGAAGCATTATTTTCTGTTGTAGCAAATTAAGTTATTTTTTAATCACCCAATATATAAATATTGTAAAATCATACCGAATAAAAACGGTGAGTACATGTACATTTTACCTACTGTAAAAATATTTATAAAGTCAAAGTCATTCATATCTCTCTATATAAAAAAACGTCTTTAGCCGTGATTTAACTTTCGGCGTTGTTCGTTGTCATATGGTATTTGATATCTATAGACTAAGCCAACTGTTTCGTGCATGTAACCTCTCTTACATGACGACATTTGGTATTCTCTCTCGTTATGTCACAACGTGGTATTTTTAGATATGAATTTCGTGTGGGTGAGCCTTCATCATGCTGTCTCCAGGATCTTTATTTCACCTGAACCTTGCAGGCATGTTACCTCCTACAGTCAGAGTAGCAGACACGACATTATGATCCTTATATCTTCCTCACATCTATGCCTCAAAAAAAGAGAAGAAAAAAACTTTTGATAAGTTAGACGTTGTTTAAAATAACATATAATCTCTTTACAATATAAATCTTTATTAACACAGGCAGACTGGATCAATAAAACATGAATCATATTACTTTAAAGATATTATAAACTTTTAAATGCTGAGAAATACTGATAATCAAATTTTTAAAAGCACTCTGCTCTTATAGGAAACAATAATGTGAAATCTAATATTCATAAATATGTGATCTAAATTTGCTTTGTCCTGCAATAGATTAGATAGGTGGTTAATTACCGTGCAGGTTTTCTTATAGTATAAAATGTCAGAAATATGAATAGTGGTTTTGACTTTGTGGCTCATAAGTACGAGTAAGCTTAAATTTCAGAACTTTTAATGATTTTGTAAAAACATTTGAAATAATATAAAGTAATATTTAAGTGGTTATACCCGATAGATGGCACTGTTTAGAACTGAACTTTTTTTTTTTTTATAATTACCTAATTATATCTTGGCTTAGGTTTGAATTAAATGAAGTTAAGTTAATTTTATTTTCATCACTATCTAAACTATATTATCATTAAGTGCGTATGTGTGTTTAATAATATCGTGTCGGTATTGATATTTAGGGTACGTGCTCTAATGGACAACCATAAATTTACTTGAACGTCAGCTTGGTATTAATAAATTCTAGGAATACGTAACGTTCTGTAACCGATAATATTGTCTCTGTCTAGATCATGATAACACGAAACAACAAAGTTTTTCATTTTATTTAAACCTCAATTTTCATCACTTGGGGTGGGGGATTACGAGAATGTTACGTGATGAACTGCGCGAAAATGATTCAGCAGCCAGTAACGACTAAGAACTTTCAAAAGATTCACGCACGTGCACTTTCGTACAGGGGATGATACACGTACCTTAATTGAGATTAATGACAAGAGCAGTCAGACAATCTAGTTATGTCATGATTAACGCTTTTTTCTCTGTTTCTGATTCGTGCGTTAAGTTTACGATACTAAACTATTATATTCTTTAGTTTACTATATAATGTAGCAACCACTGACCATAGAGAGAAAACTAACTAAGTTTACAATTTCCAGTTACATTTCATTTGCGGTAATTCCACGTTTTGATTGTAAGAAATTGAACACATTACTCTGAAGCCGTTGTGAAATCTCCTACTATGTTTAAGTTTTGCCAGTAATTGCGATGAAAAAAAAACTGGGAGGTTATATGATTAGTGAAATAGAAATATCTAAAACACTGCCAAGTATAATTTTACGTAATAGCTCATTACACTCCCACAGAATAAGAGTTCTTATTTTTTAATTCTCAGTGTAGAATACTAGTAAATAGTATATGCTAGATGTACAAATAAACCGACGATATGGGAAATAAAAAACTTATGTCAATAAATACTCTCATAGAGTCAACTATGAAAACGTATACAACAAGGAATTAAAATACACGTCAGTAACGGTCGTATTTACCCACACGACTTTTTTTGGGAGATTCGATAAATGCTGGGATGTAATAAATCTTTTACTTCTCAAAGCTATAGTCGACCCTGTTTCTCATTGACTAATTTCGAATTAGTTCAATCAATTTTTCTCTACGTGGAAAAGGGAGGGGGAGCGTGCCACCATAGCGACAGTCACCATAGTTACATGAGTAATTTTATGATGCAGTGCTTTTATGTTCCACTTAATAGTTGCATAACCTGAAGGTGATTTGTAGATTGAAATGTATCGAGTTGTTAAATTCTTCGAACTTAAGAGTTTCGTTTCCTTACACTGGCGACAAATTATGGACCCACTTCTAAAATTATTCTGCAAATGTAGCCACAACGAAGCGTAGCCTTGAAGCAGTGTTGTAATACCAGAAAGTTTTCCCCTTCATTTCGTCTGATAGACATTTTTAGGTGTCACCGATGTTAGGAATTCCTCACGTAACCCATTTTCCCTATAATTCCACCTCCATTTCAAAAGAAAAATAAATTAAATATTTGCAAGCAACTTACACTTTTTTTCCAGTGAAACTGCTACATGGTTATTAAAGGAACACACGTGTATAAACGTACGAGAAAATAATTACAGAACTACGTTGTTGTTGTTTTTTTCCCTGGTGGAAATACTTATGTAATCATCCATTCGATGAGTGGATAATTGTAACTCCACTTGGCAACTGTACTAAATTTGAAACCAAACCTGCTCTTAGAAGAGGTTCCAACATAAAAAAAAGAAGTTTCGTATTCAACAGTTGAACCATATGACCTAGTAGGCATTTGTTGATTACCGAGTCAACTTTCTAACCAAAAAAGCAGTAGAACATATATAACTGCATGTAGTCTACACAGGGATCAATGTACCTACAGGCCTTGATACACTTCATGATGCAAGCACACTGGCATTCTTAGAAAACAGTCCCTTCACATCATTACCTTGTAATCCAGGACACCTGAGCTTCTTCCCTGAAGGACAGCAATAACATCTACCTGAAACTAGCTTCACCAATAAGAATGAAGAAAAAATAAAGATGAAGAGGAGAAATGAAGTGAATTGTATATATACGTCGATACCATTAGTTGAGTAGATAGTTAAAAATGTAACCACCTAGATAGACGGACTGAAGGGGAAATAAACATGTGGAGTAATCTATGTATATACATATACCAATGAGTAAGTGCATATGTAGTACAGAACAGATTAATATATGGAAAGCTGTGTAACGCTTTTCGCGGAGGATGATGACGACAGAGAATCTAATGAAGTTTTGAATCATGACGTCATCAACTTTGGAGGCCTTGCCGAGGGCTTCAGACCAATTATTAAGCCTAAGTGACGTCACGAAACATGATTTGTATACGTGCCCACCTTTCACGCGGCATGAGATTTGGGGAACTACCGGAGACCTGTGACTAGTTCTGTGGAGTTAAGCTATCGGGTCGAGCTCGGAATTCCCGCTGGTCGCTTGCTTATAATAAGCACAGTCGCACGCGCCTCTCCTTATGTAGTTGCCTATTGGCCCGAATCGCTCCGACTGTTGGCAGTTTGACACATGGCTCTGTTTCGTCAGTCTTCATATAAATAAGGGAGTTGAAGCGAACGGTCACCGGCCGACGTGCTGTGTGTAGTTTTATCATCACTGAACAAAAAAAAAAAAAAAAAAAAGATAGAGAGAGAGGAAAACAAGTGGAACGCTTTACTGACTTAAAGACATTTCTCTTTCCGTTTTGCCTCAGATTGCTTGTCTTTTATACAAATTCCTATTGTGCCGGTGTCAACTCCTGACTCCGAACTAGCCTCCATGTGGCGGAAGAAATGACCAGAAAATGTCCATTCATGAGCTACACCTTGACCTTTCTGTGTTGGATCACTCTGGTCGTTTGCAGAGGTCAGTGTATCCCTCTGGCGAGATATTCTGAACACTCCGACTTGTGGTTTGGTCAGCTAGATGATATAGACGAGTCGGATTTCGAGGCAGAAGTCCAGTATATTAGAAATCGTTTCTTGACACACCTCCAAGGCCTGTCCAACATGACTCAGGTCGAACTAGAAAAAGCTATCCAAGTCAACTATAGACGTGTATATAAAGAACACGAAGAACATCAGCCTACGAAAGTGTACAAGCTTACTGACACAGGTGAGTTCTCTTTTATTGGTTTTGTTAAATATGCTTTAATTGCTCGTCCTTGTAGCTGCAATATACTTTACAGGGAAACGCAGGGTTTCAGTAGAGTTTTATACAAGATTCACTGGATTCTGTTCTTTCTGCTGTTAATTTTGATCAAACTTACAAGAACACTTGTAATCTTATATTATTTGTCTCTTCTAATGATCAACAGTTGTATCTAATCTAGCTACTTGCTAATACTATTCATGATGTGAAAAATTAAAACAGCTACAATGTTATCCAACTTTAGAATAAAACTACAAAGCTTTGACTGATGATATAACTATCCACACTATAATAGCATATTAAAGTTACAACACGGCAACCGCAATGTACATATGATGACATATGTTACAACATAACAGCAATAATGTACGTATGATGAAAGTTATCAAAGTTACAACATGATAACGATAATGTACATATGATGAAAGTTGCCCAAGTTACAACATAACAACAGTAGTGTACGTATGATGAAAACTATCAAAGTTACAACATAACAACAGTAGTGTATATATCATAAAACTATCAAAGCTACAACATAATAACAGTAGTGTACGTATGATGAAAACTATCAAAATTACAACATAACAACAGTAGTGTATATATCATAAAACTATCAAAGCTACAACATAATAACAGTAGTGTACGTATGATGAAAACTATCAAAACTACAACATAACAGCAGTAGTGTATATATGATAAAAACTATCAAAGCTACAACATTACAACGGCAGTGTACATATGATAAAACTATCAAAGTTACAACATAACAACAGTAGTGTATATATCATAAAACTATCAAAGCTACAACATAATAACAGTAGTGTACGTATGATGAAAACTATCAAAGCTACAACATAACAGCAGTAGTGTATGTATGATAAAAACTATCAAAGCTACAACATAACAACAGTAGTGTACATATGATAAAACTATCAAAGCTACAACATAACAACAGTAGTGTACATATGATAAAACTATCAAAGCTACAACATAACAACAG